GAATTTACATTAATGACCAGTTTTTTTATAATTTGACAAGTAACCTGTTATGACGGCGATCGGTTGTAACGACGATATCGCTATAACACATATCTAATGTATATATTTATTTATATACATTTTTTATAGAACCGCAAAATTTTCAATAGTAAAAAAAATTCCAGAGATTTTTTTTTAAATCAGTTAAAAACGGAAACATGTTTTACGTTATGTTTTTATTTATGAAGATCGAAGCTCAGATATCGCCATCTATATCTATCTCCTGTATCAAGGGAAGTTTTCCTATAAAAGATTATTATTGTTATTGCAATTAAAAAAAAATCCGACTCGAGTTAAAAGTGTTAATCGTTCGTAACACCCTGTACACGGCCAACTCGTAGAAATCCGTTACGCTAAAACGTCGATTGTCTTTTTTTTCCACAACTATGTAGCTCGCAAATGTGGTGCCGCCCGTTCATTTTTTTTAAATATAAATAAGCATTAACCCTGGAAATGGTCGCAGTACCGAGTACCGTGCCGTATTAATTATTCAAACATAAATCCGTTAAAATCCTTATAACAGGCAGCAGCGCACTTAATTAATAAAAATTAAAAAAAAAGTTTTACTATTAGCTTCGCGGAACGTAATGGCGTTCATGGCTCGGTTAGCACGGCGAGGTCGATATTTTTCAATAAGTGATATGCGTTCCGAGTTGCACGGCATATTTTGTTGTTTGACACGGAGTTGAAAACCAGAATTATTGTATAACTTGCGTGTCGTTCCCTTATTTCTTCTTTTGTTGCCCGTCGTGTTACATCTATCTATGATTTCCGTGTCGCACATCCATTATTACGTCTAATAATTTCCATAGTTTTACTTTATTCAGATTAGTTCTTTTGGTGTTTATGGTAACCTATCTAAGATTATTTACATATACGGACTGATCCAAATTAAGTGTTCAGCATTGGTAATTACGAAGTCGTAGCATTTTTTTCACCGATTTTCGATGGTGAAAACAAAAAACAATTGAATGTAGGCTTTTGGAAACAACGAGGAAAATGTACTCTTTTTAAATAGAACACTCTGTATATTCTTTACCCTAACGTTCGTAATTCACCAGCAAAACAGAAAAGGTCGTTTGCAATATTAGTCTAAAATTGAAAATAACCGCATTATCAGCACTCTTTTAAACGAGATGTCTACGAGTGGTTGCGAAACAAAACTCCAAAAATGGCCAATTGCCTTTAGCATTGTTCTACAATCTATCTGGTTTATTTTTGCTCTTATTGCAGCCTTTAAAACGTCAACGTGTTGGTGTCTTTCCTTATAAATTTCGTCCTTTAGATAACCCCACAAGAAGAAATCAAGTGGGGTTATATCTGGTGAGCGAGAAGACCAAGGAATAGGTCCATTGATTCATTTATTGTTGAAAATGGTTGGCAAAAATTGGTATGTGCCTTTGAAGTTATGAACTGATGCGCCATATTTTTGGAAAAGGAAATTTTGCTTAGTTATGAGGTCAAGCTCAACTAGAAAAGCATCATGAATTTCAGTCATAATTGCAATGTATCGCTTACCGGTCAGCGTGCCATCGCAAAAATATGGACCAACAATGCGAGAACCAATTATACCGTTAAACGTTAAAGCTGAAACGAATTTGTGGCTCTCGAGAACGTACTAGCAATAAATTTTCTGTTGAGCAATAATGATGATATTTTGGATTATAAATTCAAAAATTTATAGAATATGCTGAAAATAATTTTTGTTTTGGTTGCAAAAGTTAACAGCATGGCAAAAAAAAGTGTTCTCTCTGCATCCCCTGCCAAAAGAACCTGTGCTGGTGGAAATATATAAGGGCAATTTTTTTAAGTCCTTTGTAGAGTATCCAAGGATAGGTCTGTGACTGTGTCTCGAATATAATTGCCACGATATGCTACCAAATATCCCATTTTATCACCATTTTGCTTTTTGCAGAAACGGTTGCATTATTTCTAAAGATTCGATAAAAGTACTGAAAAAAATTATTCATGTGGTGAAACGCCCTATGCTCTATGTATCGTTCTCTTGCCCTTAGAGACGATTTCCTGTACGCCAATTAGCATTGTAGGATGTCGCAGTTTTCTTCATGTGTAAAAAATTTTTTTTTGAATAAGTGATAAATTAAAAGTAATTTAAATGATTTATAACAATTAATATAACAATGCTAATAATGAACAATTTTTTCTGCACCTTTATCGAATCTTTAGAAATCATTCAACCGTTTCTGCTAAAACAACGAGATGAAATAATTTTATAATAAATGAAGGCGTCAAAATTGGTGTTATTATTTTGTTTTTTTACATTCAAATAAAACAATCAAAGGAAACTGGAGTTTTTTTTCGCAACCACTGATAGCCATCTAGTCTAAAGGGAAATGCGCTGATAATTCGGTTATTTTCAATTTTAGGCTAATATTGCATATGACCTCTATTATTCTGTTAACATTAGAGTAAAAAATATACAGGTTGTTTCATTCTGAAAGTGTACATTTTACTAATTTGTTCATAAACCTTACATTCAGTTATTTTTCTGTTTTCTCTTTGTTCGACTTTGAATTTCTACTCTTAACAAAGTTACCAATGATGCACAATTAATTTAAATCAGCCGGAACAAGTCAGGCTATATTCAAGATTCAAATTTGGAGAGTTAGCAATTGGTGTGCCCTCCTTTGCGATCTAAATGATTATTGTGACACTCTCCATAGCTATTTAGCTTTATCCAGGTCTGTGTTTCTGATTCTTGCTGCTTTGCTTGCAGTTTGTAGTTTACAAGGTCTGCTGTAAATCTGGTAGATGGACTTCACGGGCTACCTTGGTGGCCTTATTATACTAGTACCCATGACAAAATCACTTTATTCTGACTTGCTATCTGGTTTAATGCTTTATGGCAATCCAAAACTAGTTTGGATGTTATTTTACTCCATTGCATAGTTTTTAATACCGGTTGGCTGTCGGTATGGACCGCATTTATTTTATTACGAATCTTTTTTGTCTTTATATCTCTTGCACAGTGTCCAGCCACCCACTGAACTTTATATTTTGCGTAGTGAAATAAGTGGACACTCTCGACAAAACTTAACTTTATATTTCCGGTACTTTAGTCACTGGTGGAGAGACCTAGAAGTTACTAGAAAATGGCTAGACTAGAGGCGTAATTGTTGTATATGTTGTGAAAATAGCGCTACCGATAGAGGGCACAATTAAGTTAATTATTTCATTGGTCTCAAAAGTTCCATTATACAGGGTGGTTCAAAAACGCGTGACGGCTAAAACATATTTTTTTAAGTGGAGCACCCTATTTTTAAATTTTGCTTTTAATTCCTTTTAAAATTGACTATAATTATAACAAAAATTAGTTTTCACACTTGCAAAGGAATTACGATAGCGCCATTATTTTTAATGGTAGATAGTTCATTCATATATTAGATGAAATGAAATATATTTGCATAATTTAAATTGAAAAATCTCTATTTTTTCTAATGGTATATCATATGTGTTTTTTTTTGAAAAATCATACAGAAACCTGCACTTTTTATTAAGTATGTTATATACCTTATTTAATATTTTGTGATTTATTTTAAACAATCCAAAATTTACCCTTCCTTCCGTCTAATCTTATTGCTATAAGATTATTTGGTCATGACAAAATTGTCATCTACATTTTCAAATTTTTACCTCACAACTGAGTAAATAAATTTATAAAATTTATTGTGGCGTTGGTGATTTAATTGATATGATTTATATAATGGGTGAGGCGAAAAAATACCCAGTTTTCAGTAAGATTTTACAAAGCGAAATACCCTAATAGACGTATACCGACTAGATAATCTTTTAAGGGCACGGTTTGATGCTAGTGATGGTATTGAATATAAAAAACGGAAACTATGTGTGGTGTAGCATAAAAAACTTTAAAGTTATGAGACTATATTTTAGAGAAGTTCGACAATTTTTAAATAATCAGTATCCACAGAAATGGATCGGTAGACGTGGATTTATTAGGTGGCCCCTCATCTTAAACATCGTGTTTATGTGAATCCCCCTGTAACGCCAGAAGATATGGAAAATCGGATTCAAGGTGCGTGTAGGAGAATAACACCGTTTATGCTAAGGAAAGTTCAAGAAAATATACCAAAAAGACTAAATATGTATCCAAGTAGAGGTGCATATTTTTTATTTAAAGTTCTTCCATTTAAAAAAATCATATAAAAATTGGTATAAATTTCTACAACCATGTTTTTTCAAATATTTTGTACGCCGTGTATAATGGAAAGTTTTTTTTATGCAACATTCGTTAAAACAAATTTTCGAACTTGCCATAAATGAGATGTATACTTTTTTGCTCCAGTATTCCACATACTTCCATTATTAATTTAATATTCACACTGATCTTTGCTGCTTGTATTAAAAAAAATTAATGTATATTAGGAAATATATTATGATGATATTCCAATGCTTTCATACTCCTTTATCTCATTTTCATAACAAATCATAAGTGTGAATATAAATACAAGGTGTTTACAAAGAGTATGACCATCCGTTAACCATGGTTAAAATAATAGCACTATCCTTCAGTGAATTTCAATTTAAACCATTTAAAATGTTTTCAATATACTTAGTATCAGAGTTAATTTTTTAAAGTGCATTTTTATTAATATCTTCATTAATTACATTGATTGTGACTTGGGCCTTCATTTCATCTACAATTTCCCAGGCCATAGTTGTATTACAATTAATTGAATTAAAAAGAAATGTAAAAGATATAAATTTCTGTTGTTTCCTTCGGTTGTCGGAAAAAATGGTGTAATGAAAGGGAAATTTCAGAGAGAAACTTTGTTTAGATAATTGTGCAGTGCCGTCAAATTTCATAATGACCGCTCAAAATACTCGAGAGATATGCATATAGGTTTGTTTTCCAAAATTTTCATTTTATTAAAAGAAAAACACCAATGTTTCACACTAGAGGTGTTTGCTGATTTTCTTACCATTTCAACTTTTGCGGTAACCAACTTCACGGAGGAGCCCATTTCGTTAGCCTCAGATATCGAGTTCCTTGCTGACCCTCCCGAGTGAGTCGTCTTAACCGACATCGTCCCGAGAGTAGGATAATCGTAGGACGTGTATTCTGGAACTTTCGAGTCATTTCCGATAGAAAGACTGCAACAAAAAAAACTACAATTCAAGGAGCAACTACTGTCGAAATTCATTCATTTATTATATGAAAAATTATTACTATTTATTTATTTATTTATTTTTATTATTTTAAATAAAGCCAAAACAATTTATTTATAATTATTTTTTTACCTATACCATAGGCCTGTTTGAATGTAAATGTAATAAAAATATTTGTAAAAATTGTAAAAATTATAGTACAATTAATAATTCAACAATACCATGGGCAAAATAGAACCCATAAGATATGAATACAATGCAAGAAAAAAAGCAGTTTATCCCGCGCTGTGTACGAAAACAAAAGTTTTCATACGTATTTTGGTCTCCGATTTTACAATCAACTACAAGAACAAATCAGACATATCACAAAGTTTCAGAAACACAAATCGCTGGTGAAGGAGTGGATTTTTAAGAGTGCCAGGGCTATGTTTATCTTATGGTCTTGAAATGTGCTAGATAAAACAATTGTGTTTAGAAATTGTAAAAACGGTCCTGTTAATGATTGCTTATACAATTCAATAAATGGTAAAAAAAAACGAATGTAGTTCAACGGTTGTAATGGATCCTTCTTGTCTCTGTGGGAGCTTTTCATTTGTTTGCATGTCACGTATTTTAGTTAAACAAAATTGTATTACTTATATTATAATGTGTGAATAAGAATAAGCATTGATTTGCTTCTGTGGATTTAAACGTTTATTTGGTGTATTTTTTGAAATTGAATATTGCTTTTTTCATTAAATTTGTTAGTATTGTAAGAAGTTATAAATATGTTTGTTTAACTTATATTTTAATGATAGATCCAGATAATAGCTACTTGGACAACATACATTTAATTACGATAAAAACAATTGATAACTAAAGGGTTTTCATTATTTCGCAAAAGAAACTTGTGTCTTTTATATGTAAAGACAGTTTAAAAAAATCGAAACACAAGTATTTTTATTTTGGAATTAAGTGGGTTCTTAATGATACAAAACCTGTTCCCTTTCGAAATTAGTGAAATTGCCTATAAAAACTTCTGAACTATTTTTTAGGATGTTTAAGCCTGTGTGTTATTTTACTGACATATATTTTATTATAACCGTAGCCGCAACAATACCTGAAAAATTTTGCAATCTACCGCAAATTAATCTATTAATGCCACCTAATCTGTCAAAAAAACAGAGGTAGAATCCAGTTTCGTGAGTGCTATAGGTACAAAAGAACAATCTCTTGTTGTAAATATTGACTCTCACTGTTGTTGGAAAATTGAAACGGCATTTGACTCACGAGTTTATTTGACACCAGCCGAGCTAGCGTTTAATAGTTTTTGGGTACATTTTCGCAAAACAACACGAATACATTCACTGACATGACCGTCAGAATTGACAAACGTCAAAATTCAAAGTGTGGGAAATATCTACGAAAACATCCGATTGCTCCCGAACCCGTGCGGTAAAATCCCGACAATTTCCGAAGTGGCTCGGATCCGTGGAAAAATTAGAGTGGCATTTAGAACTTCGATCACTTATTTAATTAATTCAAAGTTCTCGGCATAAATCAGCGGCGGCTAACCAATTCGGAGCGCGAGCATTGAAGATGCCAAGTGAGATTTTGGCGAAACGTCTGCAGGATTCCAGTCGGATGCAAGATTTGCAGGATTCCAGTCGGAGTTCAACGAGCGAACGGATGATATCCCGGAATATAGTGTCATCACATTTTTCCATCCGTGAATCAATACGTGAGAATATATATATATATATATATATATATATATATATATATATATATATATATATATATATATATATATATATATATATATATATATATATATATATATATATATATATATATATATATATATATATATATATATATATATATATATATATATATATATATATATATATATATATATATATATACAAAATTGGACACTTAAAAGTGTTTTTAGAAATACTATATTTACTTGAATTGTTAATTCATTTATCAACTAAAACTGGTCTCTTTTAAATTCTGTCAGAATATTGATACCATGAGCCAAACAAGTAACATGAAATCGGTTAGAATATAATGGTTTTACAATTATGTGCGGCCTTAACTATATTTTTTCTGTCGGAGTACTGTTATGCAAAAAACGGTAATTTTTCTTAAACAAATCTGGTTTGTTGTCGACAAATCTTGTCAGTGCTTAGCAAGTCTGAATTTTTGAAAAAAAAACACATTGTAGGCTAGTAACAATTCATAATCGAAAATTTCAAAAAATCAACAATTACAACACCAAGTAAGTAACATAAGTAACACACATTCGATAAACATCAGCCGTTTAAGATTTCCTCAATTGAAAAAAATTAATAAATTACCTAAAATTGAACTGAGGTGGCTTTTATTTGATGACAATCCATTTATCAAAATAAATAAAAACTAAAAGTTCAGATTTTCACGAAATTATATATTTTGACATGACAATTGTTTCGACAACACATTTGATAAAGACACATGTCGACATGTTGTCGAAACAATTGTCATGTCAAAATATACAATTTCGTAAAAATCTGAACTTTTAGTTCTCATTTACTTTTTTAAATTTTCTAAAAACAGTTGGTTCTGTTAATTAAATTGCCATTTTCGAGAAAGGAAACATTATTTCTTTCATGAGCTTAAATTGCATTTTCATGATCAAACCAGCAGCTTATTATTATTTGTAGATTCAAAAGGTGTGGCGTATAAGTAACACATATTAAATAAACATCACCAGTTCAACATTTCATCAAGATCTGGATACGTACTACTACGCCGGCTAGCAATTAACGTTAATGATGCTCCGTTAGACGGTAATTCTTAAATTACATTACCAGTATATCGAAATAATGTGTTGTTGAAAATTCCAAATATGCGGCTATAAAAAGCCACCAAAAACAAAAAATGGGTTTCAATTTTTTTGAAAAAAAGCGGCATTTCATAGTGTTCCAACTTTTATTTTTTGCTTGGTCAGTTCCTGTACAAGTACAACATCGACATCAATCACAAAACATGACGTTACAAGGGCCTTTGCGGTGTAGTAGTAAAATCAAATATTAAATACACGGTGTTTTATAAGGAAAAATAAGTTTTGTAAGTATGACAGTTGTGAAGCACCTTATACGTTGATGTCCCTTGGTAGACAAATCGTTATGAACTCTGAGTACAGCTAAAACTAAGTGCCCTTTCTCATAGTAAACTGAAACTTTCTATAAATTAAAATCAATCAGAAATCAGAAATTCTTAATAATGTTTTCAAAAATTCTGAATTAGATTTTCAGAAAAATCACCCCTCTTGTTATGAATTCGCAAGATCTTTTTCAGATATTCCAATCTTAAGCAGAGTTAAAGTAACCATACTATGAACAGTTCTGATTAAAATTAAGACTGTTTGTTGTAATTAGCCCATATTATCCCAAGCATAAAAAAAATAATAATAATTTTTTGCTCTGACATTATTTATTTTCTTGCACTTAAGAATACATTACATGCGTCAAAAAAAAAAATAAAAACTCGAAACATACAAAAAAATACTGGTGCGCAAAAAAACCACTGGGAAAAAACGTTAAATAATGTTTTGGTTAGTTTATACATAAATATACAAAAGAAAGTTCAAATTCGACAGAAAACAACTAAAAGTAGATTGTTTTCCATATAGAACCTGATTTGATACAAAAAAACGCATATGCGTGGTAACACCTGGTTTCATTTTTGGTGATATTTTACAAAACATAAAGTATATAAATGGACATTACACTTATTACAAACGTAAATTGTGTGGCTGTGGCAGATTCTACATCTCTTTCGGGCTTTATTAGCTTGAACAATCATGAGGTGACCTTGATTATCATAACGCACTTCATCTATGGCAGGTGCAAGATTTCTTTGCGTAATTGTTTTACCAGTTCTTAAAAGTCGCAAAGCAATGTAAGATTTAAAATCAAATCAATCACTTCGTCCTCACATAAAACATAAAAAATATTTCAAGCGGAGTTTTTCCAGAAAGCCTATTTTTTAGTTCCTCACATGATCTAAATTCATCCGATATAGGTTTGTGAGTGTACTCAATCTGACCTTTCTTCTATTTGACAGTAGAAGTAAGCCTGTCGTTTACAGGAAGCATTAGTCCCATTTGTTGGAATACAATACTTTGCGTGTTAGGTACATTTATTTTTATAAGTAATATGCAATACATATTGCGTTTAAGTCTCTCTATCTTTGCCTCTCAGTACCGTAGATATTTGATTCACTTGTTCTCTGTACTTGACTGTCGTGTGCGCGTCATGTAAAAATGTGTGTATAATAAACGGCCGGTTATTTTGTACGTACTTATTTTATTGGCAAACGTTGATACAAGTAACGAATTCCGCTTGTGCTTATCGCCTTGCAACAGGTTACTTTTTTTGTCGTTCTTTGTGTCGTTTATTCAAAATGGCTGCCGATGTAGGTTCCGCATTTTCTGCGATCGAAAAATTGAAAGGTCGAGAGAATTATAGCGACTGGCGATTTCAAATCATTGCTCTGTTGAACATGGGAATGTGTGACGGGGCAGATGGTTACTTTCACGACTACTGACGAAACTCCAACAGCGATTGCAGCACGCCGGGAGGCAGCACGTAAGGAAGAAAAAGCATTATAAAAAATAATTCTTTCCTTGGACAAGTCAACGTACCCGCACGTGATGCAGGCGAAAACATCGATAGAAGCTTGGAAGGCTCTTGAAAAAGCTTTTGAAGGCAAGGGACTTCATCGACGTCTGCGCCTTTTGAGGAATCTGTGTTCCATTAAGTTGAGTAATTATGATACAATGGAGGATTATGTTAATGAAATTATGTCTCTCTCGCAACAACTTAATTCGATGGGTAGACCTATTGATGATGAGTTTTTAGGTGTTGTTATGCTCCAAGGGCTCACTGAAGATTATGACCCGATGGTGATGGCACTTGAAAGTTTTGGAACTGACATAACCTCAGATTTTGTAA